TATGACGAAAAGATATCCAATTCAAGGCTCAACTTCACAACGAAAGGGCCATCCACGATTTCAACTTCACGACGAAGGATATCGTGCCCACAAACAACATCCATTGGATTTCAACTTCACAAAAAAGGATATTCAACCCAAAGCTCAACTTCACGGCAAATGAGCTTTCCAGTTTCATAGTCAATTTCAACTTCACGGCGAAGGATATTGGCCTCGAAACAACACAACTTACATTGGATTTTAACTTCACGATGAAGGATATCCAATTCCAAGGCTCAACTTCACGATGAAAGGGCCATATACGATTCCAACTTCACAATGAAGAATATCGTACCCCCAACAGATTAACCCAACTTCACGACGAATGAGTCATCTGTAACACAGCAACACCGAAGTCTTCAGGACAAGTTTCACATTCACGATGAAGTATCTTGAGCCAGAAGACGATTCAGAGGCCACTTGCCAAAAGCTTTGAGTTCAATTTCAACTTCACGACGAAGGATATCGCGCTCAGAATTTTCCAGTTTCTACTCAACCTCACGACGAGGGAATCATTTCATGATTTAATTCAAATTGACAAACCAGTCTTAATATCGTATTTTAACTCTACGACAGAGGACATTCGATATGGACGAAATTTGTTTATTTTAATCTTTGCTCTACTTTCGTTACACGATAATGAGCAAAGAGAGACAGCTGAAGACACCCAAATTCGTCCATCAATATTATATTATATAATATATATTTTATATTATAATATATATAATTATTTATTTATTTGGGTTACAGGTCCATTACAAAGACTAAACAATGGCCCAATAGAGACCCAATAGGCCCAAAACCTATCTGCCCAGAAGAAACACACGACCCGGATTCAATAATAGAGCCCAAACTAGACCCGAACCCGCTCCAAGCAACCCGAATCACCTAGGGTTTCCAGAACCCCAGCAAGCCCCTCCTCAGCGTCGCATGCCTCCACAGCGCCGTTCCAGCCCCACAATCACGTTCTCCTCCAGATTTCTCAGCATCAATGTCAACAAGCAATAAACATTAGACTTTTGGTTCGATTAGGAGACTAAAAATAGTGTTTTATTTTCCTATAAATAAATGTAACATTTACAGACAAGATTCACGAATATTACGAGAGAAAATACACTGAAAATAGTAGAGATCTAAGTACTCAAAGCTTGTACTTTTCGAAACAACACGAAATAAAAGGTATTTTTATTTTACATCGCTTAATCGTCGTAGGCTCGTGCGTGTAGTTGCATGATATCTTTTTATTTTCGTATTTTTGATACGAATGAAGTTTCGGCCGAGGAACATAAGGGGGAAAAATAGATCTTTTTTTAGATCTACGTCGCCTCGTGGTCGTTTTGAAAAAAACATTTTGATTTTTAAAACTAGAATTGGAAGAGGTTTCTAAAAAAATAATTTTTTTATATTTCGCCGCCGATGAACGGCGGTCGGCAAGGTTGCGCAACGTCAGGAATCTGGAAAATGGGGTGGTTTTTCTTCAGCTTGAAGAACAAATCAGAGAAAATAACAAATGAGGGAGGGGGTTTCGGTTTGGAGAAGAGAGAAATGAGGGTTTTAAAAAAAATTAACCTTTATAGTGCACCTGTGGAGCCAACCGACCTGACTCGTTGTACGCTAGATCCGCGTGTTTTGTTTTAAAAAGGGTAAACCGCGCTTTTGGTCTCTTCATTTTTAAAAAACTTTTATTTTGACCCCAAATTTGATTTTAAACCCAAATTCATTTTCAAATTGGCCCCTTAATTTTGATTTTCTTCTATTTAACCCCTTTTATTAATTATTATTATATTTTTTCATATATATTTATTTTTTATCATTATTTTTTAAAAGTACCGTTATGTATCTATATTTTTTAAGTTTTTTTTTACTATTTATCTATTTATTTTTAAATATTATATTTCACATGTTTTGTCTATTATGGGAACCCTTTTCTTTAGTCTCTGAGCAATTTTTTCCTCACTCACTTTCAGTGAAGTGATGGGGGAGTTGTTTAAATATTATATATTATTTTGTTTTAATAATACTTTGATGTGGGGTATATATATTCTTTTTCTATTTTAAACATTACTATATATATATATATGTATTATTTTTTACTATTATTTTTGTTTGTCTTTACTTATGTATATATATATACATATTTTTATATAATTTATTTTTCTAATTTATTTAATGTATATACACATATTTGTTCCTTCCTTTTTTATTTAAATACTATTTTTTTGCTTGAGTTTTATTATTTATTTGTATTATTTATTCTTTCTTTGTTATTTATATTTTATTTTATTTTATTTTTTTATTTTTATACATTTATTAATAAAATATATATTTTACTTTTTTACTTAGTATTTTATATATATCTATTATTTTTTATTATTTTATTCAACATCATGTTATATATATATAGGGGGCCATTTTGTCCTCTAAACCAAATTACCCTCTCACTTTCGATGAAGTGATGGGTAGCTTTTTTATCCTTTTTTTTATTTTCTTTGTACATATATTTTATTTTTGTTTTATTTATTTTTTGTTATAACTATTATCATTATTAGATTTTTTGTATTTTTTTATTTTTTTTTATTTCCTCCTTATTATTATAATTATTATTATCATAGGCTTTTTTATTTATTTTATTTACCTAACATCTTATTTTGATCTTTTAATGGTATTTTCGTAAATTTATTAAAGGTAAGTAATTTGGATCATTGTTTTACCCTTTAATTTAAATTACAACTTTCTTAATTTAAGACAACTGAAATTACGTAGTACCGAAAGGGCAGTTCAAGAGTGCTAACCCTTCCTTGACTGTAACCGACTCCCGAATCTGACACATCTTTGGTACGACGCATATCAGATAAGAAATAAGGTATCTGATCAACCCATTTGCTTTAAAATAAATTATCGGTGGCGACTCCAATACAATTTATTCAAGTCGAAGCCCAATGATCAGGTAAGACGCTGATTTCTAAGTTAGATCCACTAAAGTACATGATGGGTGTGTTTGCTCTATCTGGAAAGTTAGCCCGATGGCAGATGCTATTATCAGAATTCGATATCGAGTATGTGAGCCAAAAAAAGATAAAGGGAAGTTCCATATCGGAATTCATCGTGTATTGATATTGTTCCAAGAGTATCGATACTCAAGGGGCATTGATACCACTTTTAGATTTTAAATTGCAGTAACCTATTTTGGTACCGATACTCAGGAGAGTATCAATACCATGATGAGGGTATCGATACCCTAAGTAAGGCTATCGATACTGAGCTAATTTTTCAAACATCAAAACCAATTTTGGTATAGATACCAAGGGCGGTATTGATGCCCCAGTATGCCAGTATCGATACTCCAATTAACTTTTTAATTTACATATACATGAAGATTTTATGTTAATTTTATTTATTTATTGTCTTACAAGATCAACTTACACTTTATTATTATTGCTACACGTTAAGGTTTTATAATATATGTAAAGTATTTATAACAAATTTTTTACCCTAGTACTTTTATTATTGAATGTTTATTTAAATGTTTAAAAAATATTAACCCATCAAATGATTTTAGTGATAAAATTGAGTTTTGTTTTTCCTAGAGCAGTTATGGTTGAATGATGTGTGTTATCAATGACTAAAAAAGATTCTAAATAGGTATTGTTTTGTAATCACTTTAAATTATTCAAATTAAAAATATTTAAAATATAATTTTAAGGTTTAATTTTAGTTTTTATGATAAATTTCGACATGTATACAACATCTGTTTGCTTCGCCGTCGTATTTAGTATTGGTCCTCACGTCGCATTTCAACTTCAACAAACAACAATCCTTCAAATTCTTTTTGTTTGTTAGAAGAATGGAACAATCGAAGCACCACCAGGCCGGAACAATCAATTCGATAAAATCATCAACTTCTCCTTGCCGCAGTACCAATGCGTATAGATTGATTTGGTTCTCACGACGATCGCGATCGTCTTGAACAAACGTTGCACGAGGTCCACGGCTATCATGCCCGTGCTACATCCCATTCCCATTCTGGAGAGGTTGACGAACTTAATGTTGTTCCTTATCTTGTACCTGTTTATGATTTGGAATGTCAACGATCGAGATGGGAATACAACGAGATGTTAATGATGAGTATATCGATTTTTGATGGGGAAACTCATCGAGAGCCTTGAAACATTCATAACCCAACATGTAATGTTGATTTTCTTCGGAAAAAAACATGTTAACAAGGTAAGAAACGACAGTGGAAAGGAAAATGAGACATTTTCGTTAAGAAATCCATTGAAAAATCCTATGATACTTTTCTCCATAGATTTTGAGAGAAATATACTAATTTGGCATACTCTGTGTGGGCTGGATACATGTCTATTTATAGTTTCCGTTTGGGTTATTTGTTAGCTAAAATACAATTAATTTTTTTTATATGAAATAATTTGGATTTGATTACGTCTGTGATCACTTTATCATTAAAGATTTTAATCTGAATATCAATTTTTTAATTTTATAACCACACCACTTAACTATTTAAATAATGTTAACCAAGTTACTTATCGTTAACATTTGACATAAGGATTGGCTTGACAATTAACAAAATTAATATAATCACATATTTAGTTCTCATTACTTACACGTTCTATTAACTTGATCATAGCTTTAATTGAATTCAATGAATTTAATATGCCGATCGATAGAATATATTTAACATGTTTGGGATGAAATTGAATGTTCAAAAGTTTTGTGATCAATTTAGGATGAAGATAATGATTTTGGGCTGAAATTGAATTATTCAAAAATTTAAGGACTAATTTAGAGTGATAATCATAGTTTGTTGATAAAATTAAAATGTTTAAAAGTTTAAAGATCAATTTGAAACGAGGATCATAATTTGAGAATGTGTGATATAATTAACTCAAACATATGTATATCAAGTAAGCGATACAACAACCTATATTTAACATAGGTAAACCTTACAAGGTTTTTCAAACCACACCATTATGAAATAACATATCATAGAACCAGTAATTCATACTAGACTGAGAGACTCCTGAAACAATCTTGCAACCAGGAATTCAACCAGCCTTTCCTATATTGTAATCGAATGTGAACAGGCAGAATCGCCAACATCGCCGTTTTCGCCAGTTTTCTTCTCAATGAACACATCGGTGAGCACGGCCTTGGACTGCATCGATGCCTTGAGCAACTTCACACCCTATTTGCAGGGGGGGAAATTCAATGTCATGTCATCAAAACCAAGGCAGAAAAAGTGAAGGGATTATCTCTTACCTCATCCATTCCCACATCGATGGTTTTCTCCTCAAGAACACCTACATCTTTGACATTGAACTTGTGGAGTAAAGTAATACAAGAGATGGCTGACATAGGCCGTACAACAAGATCATCCATGATCATGTATGTAATTACCCCTTTCACGTAACCTCCCTCCTTATCGGATGAATCCTTCCGTTTAGGATTAACAACCGATGCATTTTGGTTCATGACATTTTTGCAGGAAGGACAAATGGATGTAGAATTGGTCGTGACGTAGAGACGGCAGTTGGTAAAATTGTAAATGTTACCGCACCGATAAATTCCGACCGGTTTCGACGATTCGGTCGATGGCAACAAAGGAGGTACATTTGCAGTAGTGTTGGAAACTACAGGGTTTAAAAGGGTGTCTTTGTTTGCTGATGGCTGAATGTAGGTATCATTCATGTTCTCAAGGCTGTCATACAGGTTTCCAAGTGCACCTACCATGTCGTGTTTCGTGAGAAGTCTCGTGACCGTGCCGATCGGCAACGATAGGATGTTGAACAGAAAATCAACAAAATCTTTACCGGATTCCGCAAACAGAACTCTTTGGCTTGTTGAGTCGACCAGAAGCTTCAAGCTAACGGTGTTGTTGGCTGCCATGTCTTTGTGTCTAGGCTCCTTATAATTGAGATCAATAAATAACTAAGGTGAAGTGAAGAACAAGGGATTCTATCCATTATCTTCAAGAATTGATAACTTTGTGGATAATTTTTGGATAAGATTCCTAACTCTTAAACAACTGTACAAGTTTTACAAATTCTTTACATCCAGAGATTTGGCTAATTTCTTTTAGCAGGAAATCTAAGCATTGTTTGGATGTTTTACCCTATTCACTTCCATATCAACAACTTTCTCTTCAAGAAACCTAAACATTGAAACTGTTGCATGATCATATTGGTAACTCAAGAATCCCAAGCTGCATTTAAGTCATAAACAAAGTCTTTCCAGATTATCTGTTATCAACATTTTCAAAAATAAATAAACAAACACGGACATATTCGTGTTCGCTCAAGCTCGATTCATTTACATCCCAAGTCGCGAGACAGCTTGGCTTAAGTCTAGTCAAGTACAAAAGTTCTCTACTCGATTTCATGTAAAACTTGAACTGCTCGAGCTTGCTCAGTTAAAGCTTGTTTGCTTGATTTTCATGTTTTAGGCACGTACTTTGTGATCAGTTCGAGCCAAGTAGTAAGGCCTATTTTCCCACATAAATCTTCGTTTATTGTTTTCGTTAATATATGAAAAGGTTAGGCAAAGCGTCCTATGATCTGTTGCTGATTTTCCTGGTGAAAGATTCAACTAACTTTAATGTTAGTAATAAAGAAACTCCATTAATGTTTACAAGGCAGGTTCAAACAACATATTAATTACTGGAAAGTCGAGAGTTCTCTTTTGTGACTCTTCATTTTTCCTTTCCAATTCTCTCTCAACATCATTTCTGCTATAAAGCAAGCAAAATTATCAAGGCAGTAACTATGAATATCTCACCTGTTTACAGTTAGTATTAGTCCATGGCTTCTCCCAGTACCAACACTGTCAGCCTGAAGCTTCTGATATCCCCAAAATCCCAGACACTTGTGCATGCTGAAGCAGGCAAAGATTTCGTTGATCTTATCTTCTAGTTAGCAGTGTGACGAGAATTCTTGGTAAACAAGCAACAGCAGGGTGCATTCGTAACATCTATGAAAGCATCGAAAATTAGGGGAACTCACACATGCAATCAGCAGAAATCAAAGAAATCCTTCTGAAGCCAATGGTTACTAACTATGCTGCTAATGTAGCTCTCCTGTTTCCTACACTGCAATTAACATACACCGATCTTTATAGGTGTGACAATTTCAGTTATCAAAAATGTCACATGAATTTGACTAATGATCTGAATACCATTGGTCCTTCCTGCGGTCGTGCTATGAATTATAAAGTAACTTTTGTGAATCCGAAAAACAAGCCTTCGGACTTGAGTGAGGTAGGTTGCGTCAAGGGAGTTGCAACTTACATGATAACGGGTGATATGGTGGTGAAACCTATGTCCACTGAATCAATCATCACTTTGCTCAACGAGTTCAACATTAAGGATGTTGGTGATCTCGAAGTGAAAGTCGTTGATGTTGGAGTTAATGAGGTAAAAGATTATCTTCTTGTCTCATTATAAGTTTATAGAATAGATTTCTTAATAAAATGGCTTAAACTTGGTTTTATTTGTGCAGTAGGCAGTTGAATTGCTGAGAGCATTGATCTGGTCCAAGGCTCTGCTTACTGCTGTTTTCCTTAGTGAGAAGAAGGTGCCTTCTGTAAAGTCTGAACGATTGTACTGAAATCTTGGATTCCATGAAGCAGTCTGCCATCTTCTGTTCTTGAAATTTTCGTTTGGAAACTGTCATCATCTCAAATTGATAATTTGATAATATAAACTATGGGTTATGATCGTAAGTTGTTTTAGTTTATAGATTAGTTTTCTTAATGAAAATGGCTTAAACTTGGTTTTATTTGTGCAATAGGCAGTGGAATTGTTGAGGACATGGATCTGGAACTCACTTCAACTCTATTTGTTTGAGAACCAATGAAGATATACATTTTCTTAGGCCTTCTATTTCACATTATTTATTGATTGAACAACTGTGAAGATCTCAGACTCAAGCAAAAGTTTTCTTCATTTTCCCCAATGGCCGACTCAAGTGCCACCAGTGTGAGCCTAAAGCTTCTGATAGACTCGAAATCGAACAGGCTCGTTTTTTCCGAAGCAGGTAAATATTTCGTTGATTTTCTCTTTAATATAATGCCATTACTTGTTGGCACTGTGACAAGGCTCCTTAGTGAACAAACAATAGCGGCCTGCACCGGAAACATTTACGAGAGGAGAATTGAAGTTTCGGGCGATTCCTACATGCAATCAGCAGCTAACAAAGATATCCTTCTGAAGCCAATCGTTACTAACTATACTGCTAATGTATCTCTCCTGTTGCCTACTGCAATCCTCAACATACACCAATCCATATAGGCGTGACAACTTCAATTATCAGAAATGTCACGTCACTGTGGCAAATGATCCGAATACCATTTATCAGAAACGACTCGTGCTATGAACTATAAAGCAATTTTTGTGAAAATAGGGTGCGAAGTTACAGAAGGCATTGTTGCAGTTCATAGATTATCTTCGTTGATAGTTTTTACACTATTTATATTATTTTTTGAGTCGAATCGAGTTACAAAACGTTTTAAAGTACTGTTATTGATATGTCTTATATAAGCTAAATAATGAAAGAAATACATTTTCTCAATCCAGCTTTTGCTTTTACAGAAATTACTGCCAAATAGGGATGACAAACGGCTACAGTTTCGTGGATTCCGCACCGTATCCGCTCCAATTGGAGCGGGGATGGGTATAATTTTAGCGGGTAGTGGGCGGGTGTGGATTTATAAAGTGGTACCCGTCGTGGGTGATGGGCGGGTAATGGGTTTGAGACATTACCCGCCCCGCATCTTCCCGTCCCACATCCGCCCACCCAGCTAAATATCTATTAAATTTTGGACCATTATGAATTTAGCTGTAATTTTATAGACTAATTTATAAATTTTAATATTGTATAATATATAACATATAATTTATCCAAATATTAAGGATATTTAGTCTTTAATCTGGTCTTTAATTAGGAAAATATTCGACTCTTTGATTAAACCCATAATCCCACTAACCACGTCACTTTCCATGTTCTTTAGCCCATGCTGCCCATCCAAACACAAATTAGCCGTACTATAAGCATTAACATCAAAAACATCAGTTTCTATGTTCTTTAGCCCCTCAAAACCCATATTAGGCGCACTATGAGCATTAACATCGAAATCAACACAATAATCCAGCTCTGCGACTACATGCTCCCTATACTCTGTCTCCATAACATTCGTAGAGCTACTCCTCTAACAAATTGAAGCATGCGCTGCTATCCCATCACGAACTGTCTGGGAACCAACTCCAACATCCCATTAGTTTGCTGTCAGGCGGGTCTAGATGGGTATGTCGCTAGTGGGTAGTGGGTGTGGGGATGGATTTGAAAATGTACCCGCGTGGGCGGGTGTAGATTTGAAAATTTGTACCCATCATGGGTGGTGGGCGGGTGGTGGATTGAAAAATATTAGGTGGGTATGGAGATGGGAGAGGGGGTATTCGCACCCGACCCGCCCGTTTGCCATCCCTACTGCCAAAGCATGCCTTTGAAGAAAGTTCATAATTGAAATTGTTGACCCTCGTTTTTGTCCATTTTTATTATCGATATTTATTATTATTTGTATTATTATTAATTTTATTAATTATTATATTATTTCTAATTTTTTTACAAGTTCAATTGAAATAGAACCCGATACACTGTAAGCCCAACAATCAAACGGCCGAAACAACAAAATAGGTCCAACTAGCAAGCCCAGCTACTGTTAAGATTTGTTCTTGAAATCCTAATCTTCCACCTGCGTTACGGCCACTAAGGTAGCAGTCGCCAGAGCACGCCGCCACTGCCGAGGAGCCTTCAGCGTCGCCCGATCGAGCTCCAACCACCGTGTAGTCAATGTCAGAAGGCCAACCACCACACTGTTTCATAACATCAAAAAAAATAACAAATCAATCAAACCAATCCCTGGAAATCCGGTAACCCGGCTGCCATAGCCCCAACCGAACCCGGATTTCCAATGTGAAATCATCACCCCTCTACCAACCTCCACCAAACACGCAAATCACAAGGGATTTTAACATGCAACAACAGCCATTTGAAAGGGGAGGGGGAATCGAAAAGGGAGAAACGATTTGAAGAAAAAAAACGGAAAAGAGGAGAATTTATCTTTGTTCATTCATCGCCAGAGAAGAAATTTTGTCTAAAGGAAATGTAGGTAACCATTTCGGGACTCTTTAGATCTAGGAGGGAAAACGTTTCAAGATAGTGGTCGTTTTAGGGGTCTAGGTGCAATGGAGCGTGGATTCAAGCCGTCTCCTTCTCGTCGCCGCCGTCAAACGACGGCCAAAGGGGACAGTCGGAGAGGAGACTCATCTCCTCCCTCGGTTAAGGGGAAAACAAAAGGGAGACGGTCGAAAGAGAACGAAAGCGACGCTGAAGGGAAAAATGGGGCTAAGGGGTATCTATATCAAGTCTTAAACGGCGTCGTTTTGTGTTCCCTTAAGGCTAGGGTTTTGTTTATTTTCATGATGGGATAATTAAGTAAGAGCTCCGCTCTATTTTGTTTTAATTTAATCCAGTCCTCAAATCGAGCTCCTAATGGCTTGTTAACTCATTTTAGGTGACTTTCGCATTTTTCTTGCAACTTCACATGTTTATATTTTAGTTCTTGTTGTCTTTTACTTGTTCAAAATTACATATTTATGCTTTAAGTCCTTTAGATTCGGTTTCATAATTACTTTAAACACTGTATCAGTTTATTTTTACTTTGAAATAATACGGATTAATATGTGTCAGCCCATGATATATTTTTTTGCTTTAATTTGGTCCTTAGATCATTCACTGTTTTTTTAGTTAGTTATTTAAAATTAGCTGACTCTATTTCCATATGTAATGAGATAAGGAGGAGGTAGGTAGTAGGCTGCCCCCAACACTAGATTGAGAGCAACTTCCGTTGAAGACCTCCGACAATTATGAATTGTCCACC